TATTTGAAAGACTGTCATACAGAGGAGGGGCAGGATCTGTTCTCAATTATCCCATAGCGCAGGACACAAAACAATGGGGTCAAGTTAAAGGAAACCAGATTTCAGTTGAATATCAGGATAAACTTCCTAACTGTTAGAGCAGTATGACCGTGGAACCAGTTACCTTGCAAGTTGGCGAGTGCTCCAACACTGGAGGCATTCAAGAAAAACGTAGATAATCACCTGGAAGATATTCCATTGAGCAGGAGGTTGGACTGATGGCCTTGTAGGCCCCTTTCCGTTTAATTTTTCTATGACTCTGTGATTTTAGTTACACAACTCCCTCCATTTGTAATTTGGCAAAGATAATACAAAAACCTAACTTATAGGGCTATTGTAAGTATTATAGAACTCTTTTTGTGAAGTGCTTTCAAACCTGTACTGTGGCAGAGAATATAAAATCTGTTTTATAATTTCTACTTTATTGAACCACAAAGGTAGATCTAAGCCAAGAAACATCCTGTTGCACTTTAGGCCTTAACATAACCTTCCTGCTATGCAATTACTTGTTCATAACTGTGTCCTTTTCTAAACATGCACCACTTATTTAAAGAGCTTTGTTCTTATTTTTGTTTCCAAAGTCTGAATGCAAGGTAAACTGAATTGAAAATACATATGTTTGATTGTCTCCATGATGTATCTAAAAGTAGATTCATGGTGGCATTAAAGGCCAGGTCATGCCATCAAGTAACTCCTGACTTAGAGCAACCCGATGAATGAGCCATCTGCAAAATGTCTTGTCCTCCGCAGCCCTGATCAGCTCTTTTAAACCAAGCATGTGGCTTCCTTTAGAGAGGGAAAGTTACTGGCATATTAAATAAATATACTGTGTATTTTTTCATAGAATTGATTGTTTATTTCTTTAGTTATGTCTTGTTAAATAGGACATAAAAGGTGAAACATTTATATGACTTGGAGAGAAGCCGAAGAATCTCTTATTAAGTAGGATGGGTGTTTCCTTCATGCTTACATCAGTACTGCCTCTTGAGGTTGGAGGTAAAATAACAATCTGCACAAGACTCCAGTTATTGAATTGGGGATATGAAAGGTGGTCTTAGGAAGAGAGGAAACAAGGTGGAAGGTAGGTGGACAACTAGAAATCGGACTAGAATCAAAAGATACTGTGGGGTCAAGTTTGGAGCAAAGTCAAATGGAATCAGAGTCAGAGAAGGCAAAACTGCCACTCATAGTTTGCCATTGCAGTAATCCAAACAAACAGAGCTTCCACCCCACAGATGTATGTTTACTGTGCCTCCCTATTTCACATCATGGTGGCTATTCAGTTTTGGCACTGGAAGTTCAAGGATGTTCACTCCATCTGTTCTTCATTCTGTGGCTGTGGCACACCAGCAAGCAAACTAACAAGATGCAACCAACTGGTTTAGGGAAAGATGGGGTCAATCTCAAGGGGAAATGAACATGCTACTTGTGCTGTGACTTTTCAAATGACTGTGGCGTCTGACTTTTCCATGGATTCCTGTCCTTTTTTCGGCTCTCTGTGTGGCTGTCTTCAAAGTGATAAGCACAATATCTTGCATAACAAAATATGCATAATTATAGCAGTTGCAGAGCTGGAAAATAGAATTAAGAGCCTAAGAAGAGATGAAGAAGAAATGTGCGCATTTGCCAAACTATGCAATACACCCAAACTAGTATACAAACCAATTTAAAGTTATCCTTCGGGATTTGCACTTCATTTCCAATTCTCCAATTAAAAAAACCATCTACACAAATTCATACATATCACTGATGAACACACACATAAATGCCCATGTTGGCAAAACTATAAAAGAGCATCATGTTTGGCAAAGCTGCATACAGTATGTTGAGGATATGCGAAAATACGTAGTGGTTTTGTATGGAGTACTTAGTTTAATCACAAACTGATGTGAAATTTGAATGGGATTAAGAGTATGGGGGGATGTAAAACTGTGAGGAACTGAAATTTCATGGATATAATCTTCCTAAAGCTTTATTTACAATGTGGCCCATTGGGAAGGCATTCCAGAATCCACAGACAAAAAAGTTATTTCCCTGGAAGTTCCAACACTGAGTCTCAACCCTGGAGAAGATCTGATGTCACATCTCTGTTCCCAGGCCCCTTCTCTCCTAGCATTCTGAAAGTTAATAAAAAGACAGATTTTCCAGAGAAACCTGTCAGAATATTCTCCCCACATTATAGTTTTTATGACTGTCATATCTTTCAATTTTTATTTATTTTATTTTATTTAAAATTTTTGCTGCTATCATCCTCAGGGATTGTTTTTCAGATTATTTGTTAATGTGTGGTAGATTGGGTATTTTATGTGTTATGTTTATGTCTGTAAACAGCCCAGAGTTGTGGCATGCAACTAGATGGGCATAAATGAATAAATAAATACCAGGAATGTTGGCGTCTTGCTTTGAGTCAGCACAGAGTAATTTCCCCTTCACCCCCCAAAAAAGCTGTGGATGTTTTGTCATCAAGGGTGCACAGCCGTCTCCTTGTTTATTTTAAGATGTTCTTGCTCTACTGAGCTTGAATTAGATACTCCAAGAGCTGTTTCATGAGAATAGTTTGAGGGCATGTTTGATGAAGAGCGATTAGAACAGTTTATTTGTGGTGCAGACATAATTTTAAAAAAATAAGGTCTGTGGCTCATTTTTTGTTCCATGTTACTTTGAAAAGACACATATGTGCACACGAAAGCAGTTGCATAGGGTCCTTGTGCTATACAGCATTGTTAATGTCAATTGTCTACACAAAATCAAGATGGCAACTGCTTTCTCTCAGTTATAAAGGTGCCCATATTTACTGTCTAGACAGATTTGTATTTGAGAGGTGTGCTGTTATTACATTATAATTTTGTGTTTCTGATCTCATTCGCTCTCTCTGTTGCTTGCTTTCTTGTTTTCCTCTTGCACAATTTAAAATTATTGACAGATGAAATATAGGCAAAAATAAAACAAATTAAAGTCTTAAGATAATTAGACTATTTTTTATCAGAAGCAGTCTACATTAATAGCATTATCATGGCCATTTGCTAGTTCTCATTTTGTACATGTGATGGAGCATAAATTGCATGCACCTAAGTGCTGAGTTGATTCAATTTCTCCAGAGTCACAGAAAATTTTATCCAAGTAGCCCCATTTTACTTGATTATTCTTTGATCTTCCACTTTTGCTTGGAAGTTTATTAAGCGATTTCCAGATGGTCCAGCCAGAATCTTGTCCTGCTAGAAGGCCCTCTTCAGCATCCGTCCATTTGGCAAGGAGTGTTGTTTTTGTTCTCCACAGGTTTCACCTACGGTTTAATATGTCATCTCATGCCTCAGAGAGTCTACAACAATCCGTTTCTGAATAAAAGGATCTGCAGACACAAGTTCCTCTCTGCATCTGAATTCCCAGTAAAATATGACTGTGAAGCTTAATCCCAGCAGTAACATTTAAAAAGAAGATTTAGCGCAACGGGCTTCATAAGCAGATATTATTCTATGGCAATTATTCACTCAGATCTGCAAAATACCTATCAGCTTCCTGTTCTTTTCCGTACTTGCCAGCACTACCATCTGCGATCCAGTTGTTCCTCCCATCCATCCGTACTCAGCTGATTCCTTGCTTTCTCACAGCCCCTTCAATTATATGAGTGGGTTTGCCAGTTAAACCAACTGCTCAGGCATTTTTTTTAACCCATTACTATTCTGTGCTGCACCACTAATGCTCTCAGAAGGGTTTGGTTGTTTCACATCTTTGATACAGTGTAGTAAAGCAGTTGAAGGCGCGTTCTAAACTGATTTCCAGCGCAAAGCCTCCTCTCATCTTTGAGATCTAGCGACAATCTCTGTTATAGGCAAAGCAACCAGAGAATCTTTGATAAAACGAGAGAATCTTTGATAAAACTACCCCCCCAGCTTGATAAAAATGTCCAATTCCTTTGCATTTGAGGAATGCATCTGTAATTCTGACGAATGAAGGGCATCTCTCTTCTTGCCTATGCTTTTAATTCTGAGTGAGGAAACGAAGTGAGGGCTCCATTTTATGAAGCATGAATTAAAGCAAGAGAGAAACTGAGTTCCTAGAGAACTCATAGAGAACTGTAGAATGGGCACTTTTTTGGTTAGGAAGGAAGATAATCCCACAATGCAAAACACAAGCTCCTTTCATGTTTCTTGGATGCTGTTGTTAGGTACCATCAAGTTGCCTCTGACTTATGGCAACCCTATGAATGAGCAAGCTCCAAAACAATCTATCCTCAACAGCTTTGCTCATCTCTTGTAAACTCAACCCTGTTGTTTCCTTTAGGGAGTCAAACTATTTCATATTTGGTCTTCCTCTTCAACTTCTCCTAGCATTATTGTCTTTTCCGGATAGACAACACATGATGTGCCCAAAGTACGACAACCTCAGTTTTGACATTTTTGCCTCCAGAGATTGTTCAGGCTTGATTTGATCAAGGACTCACTTGTTCGACTTTCTGGCAGTTGAGAGCATCTGCAAAGTGGCATTAGTTTTTTTGTAGAGAAGAAGGAAACTGGAGCATTTGTAATGGCATGCTAAGAACTTAACCCCATGCGTGCAGTGACAGCTGCACACGAGTGACAGAATGCTGGCACATACCAATTTTGCAAATATTTTCCCTGCAGCCCCTATGTGCCCAACAACCATGTGAATTAGCATCCAATCCCCACCTTTGTTCCAGTCCCAGGGGATAATCTGGTTTCGCAGCAAGTTGTGTGATCTAAATCAGAGGACATGCACGGGGTATCTATTTTAACTGTGAACGCCTCAGTGCTGAGCAGAGATTAACCCTGGCGCTACTGGCAACATGTGGGTTTCAGGAAGGGTCTTAGCATGCCAGACGCATGGGATTAATGAGTTAATTCAGCCGCACAAAGTCGAATAGTAAGGCTCTTCCCCGCCCACAACATATCGAGACATTGGCATGCTTCCACATCCATTTGCTCAATCACTTGGAAGGAGCTCTTCGAAGCTATTTAGCGGGGCTGTCAGTTATTCCGGCAGCCCGAATCCATTGAAAGCGCCTGCCTTTATACTGCACACAAAGGAAGAAAGCCAGGCACCCACTCACGCTTTCTGTGAGCTTCTTAAAGAGAGCGTTGCACATTCAACTGAAACAGCTGCATCGCTGTTTCTCATCAGTGCAGAGAGCCTCTGCTTTACCTCCGCCAGGCTTTGGGGCTGTCATCGGAGGGGAACGCTTGGGGGATCTTGACAAGGCATTGAGTTTTGTGGCAGCTGTCACCAAAAAGGCTGGATGGATATCCATGGTCTTCTGAGACTTCCCTGCATTTAGATGGTTCTTGGTCTCTCTCAGCTTTGCACGATCAGCATTTCATGGTCCAGAGGGTGTTCCAGACGCATCTTGCAGCATGCCTGCATTGATTTGAATCCAGCAACCACAGGCAAGCCAGCGTTAAGACAGCGTGGAAGCCACTGCTGTGGGTTTTACCACGAAGATGCACGTTGAAGGTTCCTGAAAACATTTGACCCAATGGAGGATTCCATCTAAAATTCTTTGCAAAGGTAAAAAAATACATTTTAAAAATTATTGGGAAGCACATTGTTTGCTTTTAAGGATTATAACTGTAGCAAGTTCAATACTTTGTTTGCCTCTTCACATAGCAGGCATCACCTTGCTCACATCTGACCTGCTTCAGAACCAGGTATTTGAGTTGGAGCACACCTGGAAAGACATTGTGAGCAGCTCTAGAAACCGACCTCTTTGGCTTACTGCAGCCCTCTAGACTTCCATTCAAAGGAAGTTCTCACTATCCTACAAAGGACGGCTTGGTGAGAGAGAAATGCAAGTCTCCATAGCATGCACAGAGCATAACCTCAAAAATCGGAATGGGGAAGACAGACTTATCAGCAAACAGAATACCAGCGGCTCAAACGCAGTTAATGCAGCCCGGGCCAGATTCCGGACAGTGGCAATTATTGCTCGCAGTTTGGGAACCTTTACTCCTCAACACCATATTTCTTTAAAAGAGTCCACTGCAAAACAGACTGGCATGAAATATAGGTATGGACAAACTTATTTATTGTTCATGGTGATTCTTTGTCTTTCCTCACTCTTCCCCATGTCTTCACATCCCATACCTTTCCAAGATCTGGGGACAAAAAGTGAAAAGTGAAAAATACATCCTTGAATTCTTTTCTAGAAATGAAGACATCAAAGAAAGCTTAGAAAGAAACTCTGGCCCTAAAGGCTGCCTATTTCTTGCCATACCATATATTGGGTATTACAAGTTTTGGTATTCATACCAAATAAGTGTCTGTGGGAGTAACATGACTGGCTGTGCTTAATACAGGTCCTTTTGTACTCATGACTTTGAATTAGCAAATGACACTCTGGGCTGTGCTTGGGAGAAAGTTTGCCTCTTAAGGCACCTGCTGGGGAGTACAAAAAACCCCAACAGCTTTCAAACTTGGTTAGAGGCTCTTTCGAATTCTAATTACCACCCACACGCCTGTGATAGACATGCTGTCATAAGGGCAAGGAGGGATTTGCTTGGAGTGACATGCAAGGTGTGATGCAGATAAAGTAATAAGCATTTTAAGGTGTGTTGAGTTCTTTCATTCAAAGAAGACAAGACAGTGAGAGCAATGAATACCCACAGCTAATGTCTCAAGTGAGCAGGTAGAATGTTTATCTGCATAAAGTATTTAAGAGGGTTTTGCTTGCTAAACCAGTTAATTGCAATTATTTTCATGTATATACCTGATTGTACAATGTGTTGACTTTGTCAGATATTAGACACCTCTTTGACTTGACATCAGATTGGTTTTGTTCTCATAAAGAGAAGCAAGCAAAAGAAATATTTAGATATTCTTAGAAATGAAGTTATGGCTTAGTTACCAACAAAACCACTGACTTTTGCAATAATGTAGTGCATAGTGTTGTATTTAGGACCCAAGGGATGTGGATTTAAACTGTGCAGATACGTGCTTTTGGATGACAATTCAAGGAATTCCCCAGGTGGCTATGGCATTATCACCCAAAAACACAAATCTACACAGTTCTGATTTAAATTTTAGGACAAATGGGATGGCATTTGGGAATTATGCATAATATTATAGTTCCGGCCTCAGCTGATTCACAGTAATCAATAGCAACCACAAAAGATGATTCATGTTGAGAGTCAACAAGAGAAAAGTGGTGAAAGCATATGCCTTCTTTAAAACATTGCATTACTTAAGTTTTCAACAGGTAGTGAATTTTGAGATTGTAGAAATATACTATTAGTGTTTCTGGCAAGTTGTCTCCCTAGGTCAATAATAAGTGCCATAACAACCAGCAAACTTAGATGAAATGTTGGCTACCTTTCTGGCAAGTTGACTCCATAGGTCAAGGATAAGTGCTATACCAAGCAACAAACTTAGATGAAATGTTATTTCCCTACCCTGTGTTCCATGCTTTCCAAGAATGGCAATGGGACAAAATATGTCTTGCCCCAGAAAGCCATATCTTATTCAGGCTCTTGAAAAGACTTTGTTGATTTTAAAATATCGCACCCAAAACTGTTCTTACATTTGAAAAAAAAAGTTCAGCAAAAAATGGGTATATTTTTAAAAATCTCAGCAATTATGATGGGAGAAATGCCAAAAAACTACCTGCATTCAGAGGGGGGGGGTACACAAAACATACAAGAAAAGGGGGATTGTCAGAACCTATTCTGGAACTGGTATGGTATGGTATGGGCATACTGGTGGAATTCTGAAAAGCATGTCAAAAATGAAACAAATGTTCCGTTTTTCAGTCTGAGAGCATATTTCCATTGAGAAATGAGTTGTATGAATAAGGGATGGTCAACAGAATGGCTATACAACCCTTGCAGTTGGTACCTGCAAAGTAAATGGTACCTGCAAAGTAAAACCCTTCTGTTAAAATGTGAGGAAAGGCTGCAGGTAGTCTTGAGGAATGTATGTATCCATTGAACTAGTATGCTGTCTTAGGCCCTGGTCACATGAGGGAAATGTTCTCTAATTATCCCCCAGTTAGTTATTTGCTTTTTTTCTTTTTCTTTTTCTGGTTGCATGATGCACAGTCGTGATCAAGACATTTTCCCAGCCAGTGGTGTAACAATGGAACATTTCTCCATTGCCAAGAGAATTGTATTATTTTGTACCTTGGTTTTACCAGTGCATTCTTCGCCAGGATGGCCTGGGTGCATGACCTGCTCTCCATCTTTTCCCATGTCCATTGTGTGCAACGCATTTCTGCAGAAGCAGCCAGTACAACAGAGGACACTTTCCTAGATAGAACCCTTCCCAATCAACATTCCCTCTAATTTTCCTGGGTGGGGCTCAATCCCCCCCCGTGCACGGGTTAGCCCCACCGCGCATGTGAGTCCACCCCACCTGTGCAGGGTTCCATTGTGACTGGAACATTGTGAGTGGAAATTATGACTATGGGGATGCGGAAAGCCATATGGAAGGGGCATAGTCGCACACACACTCAAATGGTGACGCACCTCAGGGGGAAACTTGTTCCTAATATATCATGGGAGGATTATAATCAAGGGGCTAAATTGTCCCTTGAAGCAAGAGAGAAAATAAATGGGTACCATGGTGTAGCTGGCCACAACGATTCAAATAGGAGGAAATAAATTGGTACCTCTAAAAGTCCTTGGGATGTTCGTCCTGGGATATAAACTACATGACCACAATTCAGTACAACAGAGATATCGAAAGTAGCAGAAAATATTTATCTCATGTTACCAGGGCATTAATTAGTAAATTGGAAGGCAGCAGGGCAGGGTTTTATATGATAGTGATGATTGAGGGGTACAACATTGGACAGAGACTAAACGTGCACTCTTCCTAAAGTGATCCCATGGGCAGAGAATCTTTTTGCTTTCCACTGGCAGTTCTATTAGTTAAAATCTATATCATTTGCTCCCCCTATAACTCAATGAGAATCTAGCCCACTCTTGTTTGCACAGTCTTGCTCATTCATCCACCTACTCCTGGCTCACGGTTGTATATCTTGGTCACATTAGTGTGACTAAAAAAAAAAACCCAAACAGAATTACATTTTTCTGCTTATGTGACTAAAATGTCTTTCAATGGCAGAAGCATCATCTGCAGAGCATTGATAAAGTAGATGTAACGGCAATTGCAATAATGTAAAGGTTTTTACTAGGTACTAAAACAGACGGTTGGATAGCTTGGTGAGTTAGGTAGCTGGCTGTGGAGGCCAAGATTGGGAGGTCATTTCCCCACTGTGCATCTCAGAAAATACAGCCTGTGTGACCTTGGGCAAGCTGCACAGTTACAAGATGTTCCCAGAAAAGGTAAAAGCTAAAGGTTCCCCTTGACAATTTTTGTGTAGTCGTGTTCGACTCTAGGGGGCGGGGCTCATCCCCATTTCCAAGCCATAGAGCCAGCGTTTGTCCGAAGACAATCTTCCATGGTCACATGGCCAGTGCGACTTAGACACGGAACGCTGTTACCTTCCCACCATGGTGGTCCCTATTTATCTACTTGCATTTGCATGCTTTCGAACCGCTAGGTTGGCAGGAGCTGGGACAAGCAACAGGAGCTCACTCTGTTGCGTGGATTCGATCTTACGACTGCTTGGTCTTCTGACCCTGCAGCACAGGCTTCTGCAGTTTAGCCCACAGCGCCACCACGTCCCTGTCCCCAGAAAAAGGGGATGGTAAATTGCTTCTGAGTACTCTCTACCAGCAAAGGGTCAGCATAAGTCAAAATTGATTTGATGGCACAAAATTATTTTAAAAAACAAAAATGTAGATACCAGGTGAGCCTCTCTGGGGCAGTGTTATTTGGCCCATACAGTAGACTGATGTTGAAATAAGGAAACAATGGTTTCATATTGTTAGTGAGTGAGCTATTGTCTTTGTTCCTCATTGCACATCAAGTCATGAGACTGGCACACATTGAAAAATATAAGCAGAGATTCATTGATTAATAGTAATTCTCCATTGCACTTATTCCAACACAATAAACAATGGGCAATCACTACTAATTAATGAATAAATTATTTCCCCAATGTTATTCTTATCTGATTGGTTTTGATTATTTGGACTGATATTCTACTTGCCTGGTTTTGTAAATGTTATATTTTATTGATGTTCTATTTCTATTTGTTTTATTAGGTTTTATATTGTTTATAGTAGTGTTGTTTGTTTCCTGCTTTGAGCACTAAAAGTGAGAAGGAAGACAGAATTTTAGCAACCAAGGGATGAAGGATTGAAAGGACAAGATGGAATACGTACTTGCATACAGTCTCTGAACAAAATCAGAAAAAAGTTTATTAATATCTTGTGAAGAAAACCATGCATGCTTGGCTGGGGAAAGGGTATTCTTACTGCAGTCTTCAAAGCCTTGGCAGAGGTGGGAGAGGCGCCAAGGAAACACTCATGACAAGGAACAAGTATTGGAATCTTCCATTGTGTTCACCCACCGTCTCTTCTTCTCTTCTCTTCATCAGCCTTTTCGTCTCCAAATCCCCTTTCCAGCATTGTGTTCAACTGGTGTAGCATCTCAGATTATCATTCTGGCATAGTGAGTAACAGGACAGAAGGTGTAGCATTGCCAGGTCAGCAGCAGCCAGTTTCATGAGATTTCACAGTCAAAATCTGAGACCAGGGAATCTTCCTTCATAACAACTGCTTCTCGGCCAGCTTGTTGTGGAAATAGGTATCTGAGTCGAAAACCTGTATGATTCTCTGCTCATCAGGTAATATGGCAACCCAGAGCTGGGCAAGTAGCAAAATACACCCTGCAGCTGTGGCATTTACCAATATTCCCGCTAATGCTTGCACCTCATGCAGCCTTGTCTACAGTGCCCGTGTTATGTGGGGAGTTTTTCCAAGCACTACGCTGTCCCAGCTCCCGCCAACCTAGCGGTTCGAAAGCCTGCAAATGCAAGTAGATAAATAGGGACCACTTTGGTGGGAAGGTAACAGCGTTCCGTGTCTAAGTCGCACTGGCCATGTGACCACGGAAGATTGTCTTCAGACAAACGCTGGCTCTATGGCTTGGAAACGGGGATGA